GGGACCTCCTTAGCCTGTGAGGGCTGTCTGGGCCACGCCCTTCGATCCAGGGAGGGCTGTCCAGGGCCATGCCCTGTGAGCCTGGTGGTGCTGTCCAGGCCACGCCCTTCGATCCAGGGAGGGCTGTCCAGGCCACACCCTGTGAGCCGGGGAGGGTTGTCCAGGGCCACACCCTGTGAGCCTGGTGGTGCTGTCTGGGCCACGCCCTGCGATCTGGGGAGGGCTATCCAGCCACGCCCTGCGATCTGGGGAGGGCTGTCCAGGCCACGCCCTGCGATCTGGGGAGGGCTGTCCAGGGCCATGCCCTGTGAGCCTGGTGGTGCTGTCTGGGCCACGCCCTGCGATCTGGGGAGGGCTGTCCAGCCACGCCCTGCGAGCCGGGAATGACAGCCTGGTAGCACTGTCCGAGCTTTGCTCTCAGTTCTGTTTGTCTTGAAACCTCTGTTGCGGTGCAGAAGGCTGGTCGCGGGTGCACACGTGTGTGACACTGCGGGTGGGTTTCTGCACCTCCTACCCAGGTGTCTGTGAGGTCAGGGGTCAGGGAGGCCAGGTGCTTAGAACGGCAGCCAGCTCCTGGAGCCGAGCGTGAGTGGCGTTGCCCGTGCTGGGCGTCTCCGAGGCCGCACGCCTCTCCTGATGCCTAGAGCACGGGGCGCCGTTCCTGGGTGTGCTGCAGAGGACACGAGCCCCGCTGCGTCCCTGCTGTGGGTGACACCGGGGACTGAAGCCCCGTCCGGTGACCCCGGAGCCACTCTTGCCACTCAGCCCCAGCCCAGGACAGATGTGTGTTCCCAGCTGCAGGGCCATGACGGGGGCTTGTTGCCGTTGCCCCTGGACGTGTTGTACGAAAGCACACGTCTGTAGCCGTCCCTCCCCGTCCACAGGCTTTCCTTGGGTGTCAGCCTGCCGGATGGGGGCAGGGGGAGGCGGGTCCTGGCCTCTCCTCCCAGACGTGACACTGAGCGGGCCCCGTGAGAGCTAAAGCTGTGGCTGAGGGTCCCTCCGGCCGAGGTGACCTGAGAGGACCACTGTGGCTCGGGGCAGAGCAGGCAGCAGCGCCCAGGAGCCTGGACCGGACTGGGGGCCAAAGGGGCCGGCCTCATGTTCCCGCTGTTCCTGGCCCTGGTCCTGGGAAGGATTTCTAGTTGAAGGGAAGCTGTGGCCCCAGACGCAGGCCCCTCGGCTTCCTTACCTGGGAAGCCGCCTAGCGTCAGCAGGGGCCCGTGGGTGCAGGGCGA